CTCCTGCCTGGCTCAGCCGCTGTGCTGGAGGAGGCTGTAGATCTGCTCCAGGACATGGGCAAAGCCCTGGTCCTTGGGGGTCCGGGAGGCAAGGGAGCCCTGTAGCAGAAACATGCCTTTGCTGAGCTCCCAGCCCCAGCCCTGGGGGGTTTTATCCAGGGCTGGCAGCAATAAAAGTAGAACTGCAGGCACCAGATTCCCACCTCGCTATCGGTCCTTAGGTGCTAACCTTCAGGGACGTGGGGGTGTGGACTGGAGGAAGGTCCATACCTAGGGCCCAGCATAAACCAATGGCCTCCGTGGTTTGCTCAGGAATGATCATACCTTGAGCAGGGGGTAGGACTAGATGTGACCTCCTGAGGTCTCTTCCAGCCCAACTGTCCCATGTGCTACCCACAAGTTGCATGGGCTACTTCAGACCATGCAGAGGGCCTGGCTGTGTTAAAGAAACCCAGGTCCTGCTAGCCTAAGAGATGCTGATGCTTTACCATGGCCGCAGCTGTCCTATCTTGCAGCAGGTCTATGAAACCAGGTGGAAAAGAGTCATCTGAGCCTCGTTCCTGGCAGGCTGCAGCCCCTGTGCAGCAGCCCACGCTCTTACCTTTAGTTTGTCCAGATAGGTCTGGTCCTGGCTCCACAGGTCCTGGAACTTCACCAGGTCGGGGGCCCCTTTGTAGAACTCCACCAGCAGCATCTGCAGCAGCCAAGGGGAGATGCTTGTCCTTGAGCCATCTTTCTCCCACCAAGCCCAAGCTGGAAACCCCTACACCCCAGCTGCTGGAGTATGGGGGGGCATAGGCCAGAGGAGCTGGGAGGGTGGGGCAGAGGCAGTGTCTTAATCCCAGGTCAGCCTCAGGCCTCCCCAACCTTGCTGGTCCCTTTGCTGGGGGCACAGAAGCTGTTCCTTCACCAACCCGTCCCTCCCCAGATAGCATGGGACTCACCATCTCCTGTAGGACGTCATTCGTCAGGAACCCATCCTGCACGTAGGTGACCTCCACCTCCATGGGGATGCCGTAGTCATTGGGTCGCTGCTAAATGATGGGAGAGAGGAGGAAGTGAGCCATTCCTATCTGGGGTGTCAGTGTGAAGCTGGGAGCTGGGCTGACACTCCAGTTTCGGTGTGATGCCATGGCTAAGAGTGAGGGGCACCATGGGGCGATCACACTGGGGAACACGCGGGGCTTCCCTGGGTCGCTTGCATCCAAGCATCAGCAAAAAGCCTTTGTGTGGCTGTGTCCCTGCAGCGGCTGGGCTCATCCCAGGGCGAGGAGGGAACAGACAGCTCCCCCCAGCACAGGGTCTGCCAGCCCTGCCACAGCCTCCATCTGTGCTCTGCTCCGTGGGAGCCGGTTCATGGCAATGCCTTGGCCCTTGGAACTGGAGGAGGCTGCCCTGACTCCTCCAAGGGCACCAGCCCGGGCTATGGTGGGTCCCCCAGGGAGGGGCCTAGAGCCAACACGAGGACCCCAGGGCCAGTTCAGCCTTCGTGCCCATGGTCTCTGGGCTTACCTCAGGAGGCGGCATAACCCAGAAAGGTGAGATCTTCGACTCTGCACCTGGGTTGCTATGATAGTATGGGCCTGCAGGGAGAGCAGAAGGATGTGAGGGAGGGGAAGGGTCTAACCAGCCTGGCATTTGGGGCATGAACCCCAGCTCCCTGCTCAGGGAGGTGCTTCTAACTGCAGCAAGCAGCCTCCACTTACTTTCCCTGCAGCCAGGGGCCCTGGCCCACAGGCTGGTTTCCAGGGGTGAAGGGTTCATGCCAAGCCCCAGCGGGTCTCTGAGCCCCGGACAGGATCCTGGCCTGGCCCCAGCCGTATCTGTGCCCAGCCCTTACCACAGATAAGTGCCAGGCAGGGCTGGAAGCTGTTGTTGCTGCCCTGGAGCTTGAGTTGGTAGTCCATCTGGGCATCGATGTCCTGCAGCGAGGGCAGGGCATGGCTGAAGGGATGGCTGTGGTACCAGCCCACCAGCGAAAGCCCGCGCAGGAAGAGATTCTGGCAGATCTGAGGGCAGGCACCGAGAAAAGGGAGAGGCCATTACAGGGGCCCCAGGTCCTCTCGGCTCAGCTGCTCAGGACCAGGACCTGGCTGGGCGGTGCCAACCCCCCTAGCGCTGGGCTTATGAGATGGCCACGGCCTCTGCCAGCAGCACCAAGCTGCTCCCGCTGAGCCCAGGCTCAGGAATGACACTGCTACCACAGGGCACACCCTCCACCCCTGCCCCCACCCAGCTTGGGGACAGCTGTGGAGTGCTGGCCTAACATCTCAGCTGTGCTGGAGCTGCTGGCAGCGCCGTGGTCAATGTGGCACCGTACTGGGGTTGGAATCCAGACCCAAGGCCCTGGCGTCCCCAAGCTGCAGAGGGCACAGGGCAGCACAGCCCCCACATCCCGCGGTTACCTCCTCCTCCACGGCTGCTGCCGAGTCAGCGTCCCCGAGGCGCGTCCGGCATGGGAAGGCGCGCAACACTGTCAGCACTGCAAGGAGACGCAGCGGCTCAGCTCTGCTAGGCTTCCAGGGCAGAGCCAGGGGGTAGCAGCCCGCCGCCACCACAAGGCTGGAGCCGCCAATTGCCCATGAGGTGCCCCCGGCCCAGCCGGTACCTACGCTGGGTATTGGTGTCCCACCGGCCGCCCAGGTAGCCGACCACCTCGCTCCGTGTCAGGTGGCTGTGGAAGTCCTAGGACAGAAGCAGGCCAGCATCAAACCAAGGCAGCCCCTCTCCTCCTCCTGTCCAAACCAGGCTGACTCTGCCCTGCCCTGCCCTCCCAGCAGAGTTACCCCCATCTGACATGTCTCCACAAGACAGCTGGGCCTGGGGACAGTCCTTGGCACATACCAGCAGCAGCAGCACGTTGCTGGAGATGGCCACGTTGAATGGCTGGAACTTGTTGATGGCCGTAAAGGACGTCACCTCCACCAGCATGTGGGGGTTCCTGCAACGCAGCGCAGACCCGTTGGCCACTGCCCCAAAACATCACCCCCATCCCTGGGCTCAAGCTCCAGGGGTGCCAGCACAGGCGTGGTGGGCAGCACCTCCTGTGCCAGGGGCACTGGAGCAGGGAGGCAGAGGCAGGACTCAGCCAGGAGGATGTGGGGATGGCTCTGCTCTGCTCCCAGGGGCAGGAGGCTGTACCTAGCCAAGTCCCGGGTGCCCAGTGTACAGTAGCGGACAGGGGTGCGGGTCTTGGCCTCCAGCCTCTTCCCCTGCGGCCCATTCTCTGGAAGGACAAAGAGGTTGGTGCCTACTCCCTGCAGTGCCAGGGTCCCCACAGCTGGGCCAGGAGGGGGGGCCTCAGCCTCTGCGCCAGGGCACCAGTATCTGCTCCAACCCTGCAGGCCTTGGAGCTGCCGCCACTAGCCCCACATACCGGGCAGCAGGGTGCTGCGGGCACTTAACCCCACGCTGCCCATGCTCTGTTGCTCCACCAGGCCCTTGCTCGGCTGCTTCTTGCTCTTCTCCTCCAGCCTCTTGCCCAGCGCTGGCTCTGCCAGGGTGGCCTTCCCTTCCCTGGTGTCCTCCTCCTCCTCCTCGGCCAGCTCCTCCTCCTCCCCTTCGCTCACCAGGCTCTGCAGGGCAGGGAAGGAAAGAGGAGCAGGGACCGGCCTGATGCCAGGCCTCTGCCTGGGGGGTGCAGGGGCACCAACCCACCAGCACCCTCTGCAGACCAGGTCACGGCATGGCACAGGTGAAACCCTGTGCCAGGAGCTGGATCGCAGGGCCATGCAGGGAAACTGAGTCACAGGTGAGGACAGGGCTGGCCTCTCAAGAACCAGGCACCTGCCAAAGTGTTGCTGGGGTCAGAACAGGGCCAGCTGGGAAGGGAGCCCCAGGCCTGAAACTGCCGGCAAGAGGAGTCCAGGCTCCGGCTCTGGGGATGGCAGGCCAGCAGCTGGGGGGCCGAGCCCCTGCTGCCTGGGGGCCGCGGGCAAGGGACGGTGTCTCGATGGGCGGCGCAGGGCTCCGAGCAGGGCAGAGCCCAGAGATCCATGAACCTCAACCCCAAACCCAAGTGGGAGCCCCGCGGGGCAGCGACCTGCCTTGCTGCAGGTCCCGGTGGTTACCGCCCCAGGGACCCAGGCGGAGATGCAGCCAGTGCTGGGGATGGGCAAACGGGCCCCAGCCTGGGGGCACAAGCCCCCGTCCGGTTTGCAGCACCCGGGCCGTGGCCTGCCCTGCTCACCTCCTCGGCCGCAGGTGCGTTGGGCTGGTGCTTCTTGAGCCAGGCCGCCTTGTACTGGTCCAGCTTCTGCCCCTTGTACTTGACGGAGGCCCAGCCGCAGCCCGACTTCTTGGCGGGGTTCACCAGCTTCTTGCAGTAGGTGGCCCAGGCGCTGGGCGAGTTGAACACCTGCCCCGTCTCCTGCCACGTGATCTTCCCGTCGGGCAGCAGGTCCCCCAGGAACTTCTTCCCCTGGCGGCAGGGGAGAGGGAAGCGGCTCCGTGGCAGAGACAGTGGCAGAGACCTGCCCCCCACAGCTGCCGGGGGTGAGGGCACGGAGACCCCGCACCGTGCCAGGTGCTGGCCCGTGGGGGTCCCGCACTGGTGCCAGCCGGTCCCGAGTCTCCTGCCTAGAGGCCGGGGCACGGCTGGCACGGCCCCTGCCCGCGGCGGGGAGCCCTCACCAGGTAGTAGATGGACAGCAGCCCCTCGCCCGGCTCGATGAGGCCGTCCTTGAGCAGCACGCGCAGGGTGATGCCGCGG